TAGTAAGACCGTCTAAGTGATAAAGCCGGCTTTATTCGAGGAGTTTTAAGACTACCAGTTAAGACCGTTTTATAGCAATCCGCCCCTGGTATCAACTTGATTTTGGTAGCAAACCATAGGTTTTCAATGTCAACCTGTCTAGTGGTCATATTCTCACGAATCATAAATGGCGGCCATCTTGAATTTCAAAATGGCTGCCATTTTCACAGTAATAAAAAACATAACTGTGCCATTAGAGGTCAACATGATTTAGGTAGCCAAACCCTGTGTTTTTAATGTCAAGCTGTCGAATGGTGATATACACATGGATCAAGAATGGTGGCCATTTTGAATTTCGAAATGGCCGACAAATTTCTAACATAAACTGCTTAGATTTTTGTGAAGTAATGTCAATTATTATTTGCAAAACCCAAATTTTAATTGCAACCTATCAACAAATTAACCTGTCTAATGGTTATATTCCAAGTGGAATCATACCTTTCTTGGACCATGAAGACAGAAAGACAACACATGTGAAGTACCAAAGAGAAATCCACAAGGGGCTTTGTCATGATTCTGTATGTCAGTGGTCTATCGGAAAAGATCAGATCGAATGAGCACACACAACTTTAATACATGATTCAGACATCAAAGTAAGTTGGAAGAACTAGTGCATCCGAAAAACAAGATTCTATGAGCAAACACCCACCTTAGAGTTATTAGGCCTATGTGGTCATTGTGACGAATAGTAAAAGGTTTGACCGCTTAGGTGAACATGAAATGAGGTTGAAAAACATAAATAAAGGGGTACGAACCAGAGACAACATGGGTTCGTCTTAATGAGACATGCACAAATCAGCAATCACTGGACCTATGGTCACACACAACCACATCCCAGATTGGAAATACTACTAAGTTACAGGGGGAACTGATGTCGGCAGTAGATGAATAAGGATCTAAATGGTTCAGAAGTAAAGACGAGGGAGTACACCAATTGTCCCATGTGTAGGAACAATTTTGTTGACTCACAACAAGACCCAGGGACTAACGATTACAAACCAGATAAAACAGTCCAGCTTTGTTAAAAATTCTACAGATATGATGTTCAATATTTATAAATTGATAAATTTCAATATTTATAAACTAATAAATTTCAATTTTAAAAATTTCAATATTTATAAACTAATAAATGCTTACTTGCCATACCCTATATCAATGTTAATGTTAGTTATTGCAAATGAAAAAAATAGGAAAATTGCAAGTACTGTGGTTACCTTGATATGACTTTTTTACAAGTCTGTAAATGACACTTAAATTAAAATATTATCTCAGTCAAGAAAGAATTGATGATGGGAGCAATATTAATGGGTCATGCCAACAACATTTTTTACTCTTCCACCACCCAAAGCAGTCATATTGGTGGCTAAATTTGAGTTCCAGAAAAAAATTACGCAAGAACTATAATTTTCTGCCCAATTTTATAGTGTAGACGTGTGCTTGAACAGACGTCTACACAATAGTAACTGAATTTGCTTTAAGAACTAGTAGTATACAATTAGGCTAATTTGAAGGGCATAGGTGGTATGTATGCCTAACAATTTAATCATTAATGATGAGAGAGTGGGTTGGTGTAATGGTTTCCATTGTGGTTCTTGATCTTGTTCATGTTTGACTACACCAGTTCGCTCTACACCATTAGATATCTACTACCACCAACATCTACCGGTACATATTTTTATTATTGTTACTTCGCCATGCAAACTCTTAAACAATAATACCTAATGAAATAATTTCAAGTTTCAAATGTGTAGATGGCAGAGAAGAATAGCATAACACAAGTTTTATTGTTCTAACAAGATATGTTGATCTGCTGATTAAGGCACTCTTGTGTAATTTCTAGATTAATACCGGAGTGGCTGATATTGTAAAAACACTTGTAAAAACACTTGACATGCATCTGAAAAAATGTCAGTCATTTTGAGTAAAGACAGTTGGCATCCGGTCTTCATGTGAATATCACCATTGGACTGGTTAATGTGTTATTAAGTTCATAATAAAATCTTTTTCAATCGACATATTTACTTTTTTTTTTAAATAATGCAGTTTTCATACATGCTAACATTTTGATAGTAAAAAACGGGGGAATTTGGTCATGGGGGTATTAATGTATTATAAGGGCAAATCTCATGATTCTTATGATATGTATTCCAATAATAAAAGTATGGTATTGATTTTAAATAACTTGTGTGTTTAATTGAACCACACTTTGTCTTGTGTCTACACAAGACAAAATGTGCCTACAGGCTATGTCTATATGGATTAATTTCTCATTTTCTAGCCCCTTTTCAGTACAAGATACAAAATCTGGATTCAATACTTGTCTAAAAGTGCGTTTTCTATAATTACTGGACTGGTATTTTAGCAACCGCAACTTCATGTCCAATTATTTTGAAATTCAATATGGCTGCCATGTATGATTCGTAAGAATCTCACCATTGGACAGGTTAACATTGAAAATATAGGGTTTGCTGCCAAAATCAGTTGATACCTGCTCTAAATAGCACAACTATTGTTATTTTTACTGTAAAAACGGCAGCCATTTTGAAATTCAAGATGGCCGCCATTTATGATCAGTGAGAATATCACCATTGGAGAGGTTGACATTGAAAATATAGGGTTTGCTGCCAAAATGATGTTGATATTTGCTCTAATGGAACAGTTATTTTTATTTTTTATGTGAAAATGGCGGCCATTTTGAAATTCCTAAATGGCCGCCAAGACAATCTCGAAAATGGACCCTTGCATTTTTGGATTCAGCATACCCAAAATATCCAGAAAATGCAATAAAATTGCTTAGGGCAAGCCTATCTCGCGAAATGACACTAGGGTCCACACTATAGCCAGAAACCAGCTTCACTTGATGTACTAAAAATTTAAAACACCATTGATTGTTTCCTCGCCTTGCATATTGATGCAGATATTAAACATATATAATAGAATTGGGTATAAATAAAAATATAATGTATTCACATGAAAAAGCAATTCCAAAAAGTTCTGATTTCGTGATTCAAGTGCTTTCTTATTTGCCTCCGAATCTATCCTGCGAACCTGATTTTAATTTTCTTGACTTTCAAAAAGACTGAAAACATGCAAACAAGATGTACATTACCGGAGGATTGCCGCAAACAAGTGGCTCTCCTACACCACTATAATACCTCCTTGCCTATACTAAACATCTTTACATAAATCGTACATAAAAAAAAATAAATATAAAAAATTCTATTAGACAACCAATAATATTGGAATTACAATAATTATAACGCTAGTTATTAATGTGCATGCCTATGTCAATGATATTTCATTATTGACAATGATGATTAGTAAGATGTTTCACTGTTGTAGAACAAGACAAATAATGAAATCATCTAAAATTGGTCTAAAAATCTAGCGGACCCACCCACCCATTTTTTGCAGACCCCCTGCGGACCCTTTGACTTGGTTGACCCCTGATTATTTATCGTGGACCCCTGGATGGTTTTCATTATTCTAAACGCCAGTGTACAGCTGAGTTTCAGGCTGTTGAGTTCGGCTACGAAACCAAGCTGTATCATACCAAGCAGTATAGTTTGTGACCCTCCACTAAAATTATTGATGATTACCTGTTCTTTGACGGCTTTTGGGCAGTGCAGTGAAGCTATACATTGTGTACGATATTACTGTCATCTTTAACGACCAAAATAAAATTAAAAAAAATAAAAAAATAAAAAAATAAAAAGAATATCATATGAAACACAAACTTGTTGGTTACTTCAACGAACCAGAAAATCAATAGTTTATGTATGCATGTATGTATGTACAGTATGTATGTATACATGTACGCATTGCATATTTAAATTGTGCTGATATGTTTAGACTATGGTTTCCACTTTATAAGAGTCTTAGAAACCATTTCTGTAAGCCTATTATCGTGATGAGCTGATGTTTATGATTAAGATTGCAACCACTT